ACGCGGATTCGCCGGCTCCTAGCCACCCTCGCCAGGAGAGGAGAGGGAAAGGGAGGAGGGGGAAAAGGAAAAGAAAGAAAAAGGCGAAGGAGAGCTCGGAGCCGCCGCACTTTTTGCGATTTCCAGGAATAGAGAAGGACCGCGGAGCCTCCAAAAGTCTAAGCTCGCATGGCAGCCGGCTCGCTCGCCCTCCCCCCACCCCCCACCCCCCAAACAAAAATCTACCGCCACTTCAAGAGGTCCTCGCTTTACATTTCGAAGAAAGGATGCCAGTTCATAAACAGTTTTCGGTGATTTACTTCCCTGCAAATGAGTTGTTTCATATTTTGCACTGTCTTTTCATGATCATTTGCATCCATTAGAGACCCCGCATCCTATTGGCTTCTCCGTACTCCTCCCGGACAGAACGCAGAACGAGGGTGAGAGCGAGAGAGAGCGAGCGAGCGAGAGAGCTAGAGCGAGCGAGCGCCAGGGAGTGAGGAGAGGGCGAGGGGGGGGGGAGGAGGGGAAGGAAAAAAAAACACCCAGAGAGAAGGGGGGGGGGGAGAGAGAGGGGGAGAGGGAGAAGGGGGGAGAGAGAATGAATACGGATTAAATCTGTTTAACTACCTACATTAATGAGATATCTCTTCCCTCACAACAAATCAAATACCTTCGCAGACCACCCCCAAAGGCTGATGTGGGGGAGTCACGGAAAAAAAACCCACAACCAGGCGCACACACAGAGACCCAGCGCCAGACGCAGGCAACGCTGTTAATTTCGTGATTTTTAACGAGGCAGTTGAAGTCTTTTTAAATGTCAGGGTCGCTTCGGAAAAATGTAAAAGAACACGGCTTAATTGCGCTGAGTTTTAAAAGGTCCGATAAATGTAATTGGTATTTTAATACAAGTTATCAAATCATACAGCTTCCCCTCCTAAACATATTTTCCAACAAACGAGGTAGTCATATTTAAAGCTTTAATGATCAATTTCCTTATTATTGATAAAGGTTTAACTGTCGTGTGAAGGGAATTGGCTGGGTAGCCGGCCCCCCCAGAATAAACGCCTGTAAACTCTTTAACAAACTATAAAACGCAATAAAGCCGGAGTCTGTTGTTGTTTATGCCGCAGCGCATAAAAGCTGTTAGCATTTTACGAGTTCTTTCCTCTACAGCTATAAAACTGCAGCTTCGATCGCCCCCGCTGCACGGCTGCAGCTCGGTGGGGGTGGCAAAGCCAAAATGAAAACGATTATGGGTTGGTGGGGTTTTTTTTCGGTGCAAACGGTGGCTTTTCCGTGAGTTTTTGCCTCCTTCAGCTGTGCAGAGCACCTGTCCCCACCCCCTCTCTGGAGCCCCCAGACCACCACCCCCTCTGCCACCCCCAGACCGCTCACCAGCGTTTCCCTATTCAATAAACAAGCCAGGCTTTTCTTTGGAGAAGGGGTCTGGGAGGGTGTGAGGAGGGACCGGGACAGGGAGAAGAAACTTTCTGGTTAATGGGCACCAAGCAAAGTTCCCCCTAAAACGGAGGATTCTGCAGTTTTTGCACAGCCTGGTTGGTGGGGGGTCTGGAATGGGGAGGAGGTCTCTGATAGAAGGCGCTTGGGCCCAGTCAGGGCTTTGGGGGGCCAACTTCATGTGATGGGAGAGGAGCCTGATGCCACCAGCAGGATGGCACCCAGTTGGGTTGTCGCACTCCTGCACGCAGGCCTGGGGACCCAGGAACCAAGCCCAGTGGCCTCCCGACCTTCCCAGCATGCTTGGGGGAGAGGGCACCCCAAGCCTATCAGCACATCACAGGGAGCAAAGGGCACTGGAGCCACCGCTGGGCACCAGGCCCTGGCACCTGGCTTTGATGCCACGGCCCTGTGCCCTCCTCAGCCCTGGGCCTTGGCTGCGAGGGGAGGGTGTGTATGCATCCTGTGAGCCACTGTCACTGCCTAAACTGACCTTGGAGTAGAGGGGATTTAGACACGGCAAGGCCACCGAGTCCCCCGTTTTCTCTCCTCCCCCCCCCCTTGGGGAGCCTTTAGTTGGGCTTGGCTTTCCCTCCAACCTGAGGACCTGGGGCCTGAAGTATGGACTGCAGATCCGAACTGACTTGGTGCCATACCCTTGAGCGGGTGGCCTTTCCTGGCCTGCCAGGCCTGGTGGTGGTGGTGGCTTAGGCTTCAGAAGGCCCTGGTCTGAGGGTCTGAACCAATGGGCTCCTGGAGGGGCTCACTGGCCAAGGGAAGGAAAGGGAAGAAGGAAGGAAGGAAGGGGGAGAGAGGAGAGACATTTTCTAGCAAGAAAAGTGGAGGTTTTACAAATACATTCCATTCGTTGTTTATTTAGGAGCGTGGTTTGCTGTGTATTCCGGGGATCCGAGTCACCCCAACCTTTGTAAAAATCAAACCATCGCCTTTCTAAGGGGAAGTGACCATGGGGGCCCCTGGCCCTTCACAGGTGAATCTGGAGAATGGGAGAGGGGCTGCCAGGGAGCGAGACAGGAGAAAGGGAAGGGAAAGTGTTGAATCTTCAAACGCCAGACGAAGAGGGGAAGAGGGCGGTGAGGCAGTGGAAGCGAGAGAGAGTTAAGTTGTTGCCGAAGCAACATTTTTATCAAATGCGGGGGGGATTTTATGGTCACGATTTGAAGACTCACCGGTGAGGTAGCAATTCAATGACTTGTTCTAAATCATCCCTACACCGTGCCAGAAATTCCTGATGGAAGGAAAATGTTTCTGTTATAAGAAGGAAAAAACGCAACAAGAAAGAGCGAGGAGATAATTTATAAACACCCAACGGAGCGCAGATTTATTAGAGAAACTCAAGTTGAGAAAGTCCGCTCGCCTCTTCGCACGCGCTCCTGGGGGAGGAGGGGGCTCGTTCTAAGGGGGGAGGGGGGCTATTTCTCGCGCAGGTTGGTCCCAGTGAGGGGCGCGGGTCGGCTGGGTCCGGAGGAAACAGGAGATTTGGAATCGGAGAGTCTAAGGGCAGACAGTGCGCGGGTCTCAGGGTGAGAAGCGCCCGGAGCCCAGGCCTCCAGCTGCTAAATCGCGAAAGGACCCGCGCCCCCCACG